AGACATGGGTGCTTTTGAGAAAACGAAATCCCCCGGTCTTCGTTCCAATGCTTTTAGCAGATGCTTTTCCTGGTTTCATCATGACAGGCACACGATTTCAGCTGCTCGAGCATGCTTTCTCGAGAACGAAATGGGATCTCTATAGAACGGAAAATTCTCTGATTTCGTCGTACTGTCAACCGATTCGTGGGACGACTTTGCTACCGAAGGATCTGCATCGGTAATGCAACATATCTTGGTGGTGTCCAAGCCTATCCATGAAAGCTTTTGATCTTAAAACTGTCGGACTATCCCAGAAAGTTCATGTTGTGGACTCTTGGAATAGAAGTCATGTTAGCTTTTCTGATAAAAAGTTTTGGGTAAATTATACGTTCATAGTTTGGGGATGAAATTACAATGTTCAAATATTTAAGGATTAATTTAAAATGAGAGTCATAGTTTGAGGATTTAATTGGAATTTTAAAAGTTTAAGGACTAATTTCAAATTATGGTCATAGTTTGGGGATACATGATGCAATTAGCTCTTAAAAGTTTTAATAATCCAGTGCCTAAAATGAAAGGGTCCCTATACTTCAACGACTAATGTGTAGTTTAACCTATATAAAAATATATGTTACATATTTTGCAGATTCTATAATTAATTAAGTACAAAAATAAATAAATAAATTTGATTATTTATCACTTTAGACACTCCTGGTTCTCGTCGCCATTAACGAAGCAACGATGAGTTCATCTTGTTCACTAACGATTCTCAATCCTTTTCCTCCCAAATCCTCCAAGATTCATTGAATCGCGTCATTATCTCCGCCGTCTTACCTCCGTCTCGTCCGCTGTGGTCGATCCTTTCCGGGCTCTGCTGCTGCTTCCACCGATTTCGACTTCGCCTTGCAAGATGCCCTTGAATCTTCTGGAATCGATACCTCTCACGCTAGAGTACTCCTCCTCCTCCTCCTTTTCTACTGTAAAGAGGAAACTATTGTTTGCATTTCGGAATGAGTTGGAGAAATGTTAGAATTAGTTTAATGTAATGGATTTTGAGTAGTTTCCCATGGAAATTTCTTTTTAAAACTCAGTTGATTGCTTCTAATCAATGTTAAATGAACTTTATTCATCCTCTATGTCATTGTTTTGGTTTTTTTATCATCTGCCAAGAATTGATAAAGTTACGGCTGACTCTCAATTTGATTAGGAATGGAAACTCTTGTGGAGGATAGAGGTTTTGATTTAGGTCTTTATGCCCCACTTAGAGTCACACATATACGAGAACGAACAACATGATAGGTTAAGCTCAATGATGTTTGAATGATATATCAAGTTTGATATAGTTAATTGTTTAAAGTTTATATCTAAAATGTTTTCTTCTGAATGATCTTTGAGCAGGAAGGGCTTCATTTAACAAATTAAAGAATTATCCAATATCGAGAGGGAAACAAGTATTAGTATAAATAGAGGCGTTGATCTCTGGAAAACTGCTCTTTACATAGCAGCGGAGGATGTTCTCTCGTTTCGCGTTCTTCTATTCCTTTGCCGGTGGATGCTTTTCTCGAAAGATTGGACGATCTTTCCATGGGCTACTGCTCTCACTATAATTCGTTATACAGGTCGTAACGGGAGAATTTTTTGGAGAGCATAGAGAAATATTTGTATGTCAGAAAGGTATTTGTAAGATTTTTTTGGTTTGCTCATAACTTAATGTCTTACCAATGGTAAATGCCATTTTCAAGTCTATGGAGCATATAAAGAAAAAATGGATGTCCTTTGTTCCCATATGTAATGAGCTAAGGGGAGGTAAGATAGTAGGCTGCCCCTAACACTAGGTTAAGAGCAGCTTTCGTAAAAGACCTCTGAATTATAAAATGCCCTCCGCGGGACTTGATCCCACGACCTCAAAATTAAGAACATTATGCTCTACCAACTGAGCTGGATTTTATTTATTAACTGTTCATGTGACCGTCTGTTTTTCTAACTGGTTAATCCAATAACTTCTTCGCAGGGCTTTTGGAGATCTATGACCAAGAACCAAGCAGAGCCACGAGCCCTATCTTCACTCTGTATGAAGGACATCCTTTCTATCTTATCATTTTTTATTTACTCTGAATGACATACCCTTTTATGTTGAATTTTTTCAGTTAGTTAATCTTTACAGTTTGAGCAGGTTTTGATGCATCGTTCAGGTTCTGCTTTAATGCTTTCGCTCATACACAGTGAGATCCTGAAAATGTTTCAAATGTGGGGCCTTTGGTTTTGATATAGAGATTTCCTTTCCTCGTGATCATGATGGTCTTCCGAGAGCCTATGATAAGTAAAAGAGCAAAGAATCTGATCAGCCCCACATATTGACAGTACAAATGTTATCGGAAGAGGTGATGTTTATACTCTTGACCCTTGATTTCTTACATTTTTTACATTAAATCTTATCTAAGTGAACTTAAAGAAAAACGGACACTTGATGCTTACAATAAGTTATGACCGTTCTCTGTTTTTCGTTCTTTTCGCTTCTTTTAATTACTCTCATGCTGGGACAAGTGGAACATGAGTTGAAAACAGAAACTAATCACCTAAAATGATTGCTAATTGTTTGATTAATTATAACCGTTCTCTTTTGCTGTCTTTTTCTCCTGTCTCATGAGAAGCTAATGATGCTATTTTAGATTCCAACTACATTCATGTGATGCTATAACGGTTGTAAGTTTGCCATGTTGCTTCGAGTTTTCATGTTCCATAAAAATCCGTGTCCAATACTTGTATCCAACACATTTGGATATGGATATGATGATATGTTTCCCCAAATATATTTAAAAACTTGGGGAAAAAAACTGAGTATAACTATCTCAGACTTAAACCTGTATCTGACACTTACCCCGAGTACAGGAAATGTAAGTAGTTTGGCTTAACCTCCTCCGGTTTATGTTCTTTACAAGAATACATTGCATTTTCTATGTTCCCCCCCCCCGGGTTTTTCTCAAATACTTCCATGATTGCAGGTTTTTGAGTAATTTGAAGGCTGCTTTCTGGCCATTTCAACAAGATCATGCTGATAGTTTATTTTTAAGGGCAGCAGATGCAGCTAACTGTGTAGACAGCTTTAATTGAGTTATTTAGTTTGTGAAGTAGCTAATTGAGTTGAGAAAGTCTTCTTTACCTCTATAGTATCTAATTCGGATTAGCGATATATTAAATACCGATGGTAATACTAAAAGAACTAAACTAAATAAAATCTCAGTTTTTTGAGTTTGACAAATTAAATTTTCATAATTTTAATTTTTCAAAAATTGATTAAACAAGGCTTAAACCAAAAAACTACTTAAATTATGTCATTTTTTTGCTTTAAGTACCTAAACTATTTTTTGGTCAAACTAAGTTTTTAAACTATTATGAGGGTATTTGGTCCACGAAATGTAAGATTATCTTTGGAAATAATATCACTGAAACGTAAAATTAGTATGAGAATATAAAATTATAATGTTTGGTTAGAAGAATATAAAGATTATTTGAATGCATATTTTTCTTAATTATCTTTGTGATATATGTTTTTTTTGGAACATTTTGGCCCTCAACATTTCACTTTGGGACAAAAAAAAATGAAAATCATCAGTTAATACACGATTAACGCTCCAAAATATGAGCTTTTTAACCTAAAATTAAACGTTGAGGGCGAAAATGTCTCGGATAAAAAAATAATAAGTAACAAAGTGATTATTCTATCAGATGGTAGGAGTCTTTTTGCCCTAAAATAAACGTTGAGGGCCAAAAATACTACAAAATGACCATTTTGATAAAAGTTAGGGGCTAATTTTGATATTATGCCTTCTCGAAAAAATTATTTTTGTTGGTAATGATCATAAAGAACCAAACGCCCTTTAAGTTATAGTTGGTTTGTGCCTATACTACATGAGATTTGAGGATAAAATCCCACATTCTTTTGCCTATTTGTTTGTTTGTGTTTGCTTATCATTTTAACGAACGAACACGAACAAGTTACATTCTTCAACAAATGAACACGAACAATAAATTTTGTCCATTTAATACTTTGTGTTCATTCGATTAAAGTTAAAGGAATGAACATGAATACATCCTCGTTCGTGTTTGTTTACAGACCTACTTATTTTTTCATCGGGATCTTTAAAATATTTATAATAATTATACATATATAAAAAATATTTTATAAATTTTAAAAAATAATAAAAGGAGTCTGCTTCTTCAAAAATCTAAGCAAAAGCAAAAGTAAAAGTGAGAATAAAAGTGATTAATTACCTTACTCTTACATTTTAGGAAAGAACAATACTTCAATAAAGAAAGTATTTTTAAATAATTTAGCATATCAAGCTTTAATTTTTTTAATTTTTATTTTTGCATATATACCTTATTTTCCAAAAAATTTGGTAAGATAGCTTCCCCTTAATCTTGTCATTTTTCACTTATATATTATTGTAATTTATTTTCTAAAATCATATAATTGTGATTATATTTATTACTAAATTTTTTGTTAACTATTCTTCAAGATATTCATAATTATAATTTATGTATAAAATTATGGAGAAGCCATTGAATTTTTTAAAAGTGTTATGAGTTCTAGCAAAAGGAAAAGGGTTATTCTTGCAAATAAGCAAAGCACAATGCTTTAACCAAAGAGAAGCCATTGAAATTTATATATATTATTGTAATTTAGTTTCTAAAATCATAAATAATTTAGTTTCTAAAATCATATATAATTTATATGTATACAATTATGGAGAAGCCATTGAAATTTTTTAAAGTGTTATGAGTTCTAGCAAAAGGAAAAGGGTTGTTCTTGCAAATAAGCAAAGCATAATGCTTTAACCAAAGAGAAGAGTGAATCTTATATCAAAGTTTAGCTTTCAATTCAAGTCACTCTTGTTTGTACCTTACTTGCCAAGATTAATGTTAGAAATACATTTTTTTATAAAAAAAAACCTATTTATTGTTAGAACAAGAAGTCATCATACACTGCCATCTCATTCATTACTCACAGAACACAAATGGAGATGGAGAAGAAGAGAGACATTAAGCATCGTTTTCATGAGCATCCCTTGGTGTTTGTGGAAGATCAAAGCAATGAAGGTCAGAAATCTTACTGCTCTGCTTGTGGGGATGTGATTTCAGATCCATGCTTTAGTTGTCCACCCTGCAATTATCACCTTCATCACAATTGTGCCCTCGCACCCCAGAGAATTTCCAGTCACCCTCTCCATCCCCAGCACTATGGTTTTTTTCTTCGACATTGGCCACGTCCTGATAATCGGGTATATGGTTGTGCATTATGCAAGGAGAAACGCAACATGTTCTTTTATGAATGTTGTGTTTGTTACTTTTCCCTTGACATCAAATGCGCTGATTTGTCTTCTTTATGTAGTAAGGTCAACCAAGAGTCCAAACATGACTTCCACCCACATCCATTGACCTTCATTCCAAGTCCCACGGATGAATTCAAAAGATTCAACTGCTTTTGGTGTCATCAACCATTAATAGATGCTTTTTACTTTTGTTTTCAATGCCTATCGTTTGTTTTCCATAAGAAATGCCTTGATGAGTTACCCACTAAAATTCATCACCCTTCCCATCTAATACACTCTCTTTTTCTTGACTCGAATGTGACTGATTCCTTTTGCAAGCTATGCCAAAAGCAACATCCTGGATATTTTTATTATTGTTCTCTTTGTAATTTTAATATCAATATTATATGTGCTTGGCCGAGATCCATTGTTGAAGATAAAAGCCACCATCAACACTCATTCACATTATTTTGGAGAAGAAGTTCATTCATTTGTGATGCATGTAGTACCGAGGGAAACTATATGTCTTACACATGTTCTACATGCAGCATCACAGTCCATAAAGATTGCATTTCACTCCCACGCATTATCAAATTTTCACGACATGATCATTGTCTTTCTCACAAATATTTTCTTGAAACACAAGATCTTACAAAGCAAGATTGTAAGATATGCTTCAATGAAGTGAAGCTTGACCGTGGGAGTTACTCTTGTGTGAAGTCTGGTTGCAAGTACATTGTTCACGTGAATTGTGCCTTGGAGGATGACAGATTTTACGAGGTGGTTGAGCGAGAAAGCCAATGCGAGGAGCTCTATGGAAGTTCAGCTGAGTCTACGCAGTCTTCCATCACTCGCGTTGTTGAGGTGAGTGAAGATGGGGAAGCCACAAAGATTGAACATTTCAGTCATGAAGGTCATTGCTTGGTGTTAGCAGACAAGATGGAGGAGGAAACTGATAGAAGATGTGATGGGTGCATGCTACCTGTCTCAACTCTGTTTTATTATTGTTCTGAATCAGAATGCCATTTCTATCTCCACAAATACTGTGCCGAGCTGCCAAGTGTAAAGCATCATTGGTTTCGTCGATCTACTGCCGATCTGGACTCCAGAAGCTTCATGTGGTGTGACTTGTGCAAACGACCTTGTAGCGGTTTCTTCTACGAAATGGGAGGATTAGGCGTTTGCTTAAGGTGTGCTGAAGTACCTGACGTGATTGAATTTCAAGGACACGAGCACTTGCTGTTTTATGATTTCAAATGCAGGGAGCGATGCAATGGTTGTGGCGCTGACCCAGGTGAAGAAGGTGCATTCAGATGTGGAAAGTGCAGTTTTACTTTGGATTTCAAATGCTTATCGTTACCACAATCAGTTGTTCACAAAATTGATCAACATCAGCTAAACCTCACCTATCACGATGATAATGATTATTCAAAGCATCTTCATTGTGATATATGTGAAGTAAAAAGAGACCGGAGCCTCTGGTATTATTGTTGTTCGATCTGTGATACTTCTGCTCATCCCGATTGTATTCTTGGAGAATTTCCATTTCTCAAGGATGGGATCACATTGCCTCGTTATTGGCACACACATCGTCATGATGTTCAGTTTCATAGGAAGGCTGAGGACTACCCTAACTGCTCGTATTGCGGTCAGCGTTGCCGAAGAGAAATTCTCAAGTGTACTGAGTCTGCGTGCAACTATATTGTTCACTTCAGATGTCGGCGGCGTAGACTCTAAAATGTTGGCGGCGTAAGTTCTTCAGGTAATCATAGAGCCATTGTTATGGTTGATTGCTGAGATGGTGTTGTCTTATTTGCATCCATTGACATTAACTTCAATGGTGTTGATGATTGTAGATGTGTTTGGCTCAAAATGGAAGGTTTAGAGGAATTAAAAGGATTTCGCATTTCGTTCCTACTGCTTCGAGGGCTGGAAAACTTTGAGTGAGCTTTATCTATGAGTGTTATTAGTGTGTGATTAATGGATTTGTGTGATTATGATTCCGAGTGTTATTATTGTGTGATTATGTTTCAATGTAATGATTCCCAGTGTTATTATTGTGTGATTATGTTTCAATGTAATGATTCCCAGTGTTATTATTGTGTGATTATGTTTGAATGTCAATTTAAGAATATTTCTTACACAGTTTTTATTACACTTTCAACCCGAACATCAAAGTAATTTATAAATGAATGTTAATGATGGGCACAACATACTTAAGGGTAAATTACGTATTTAGTACCTAAACTATTAATTTTAGTTTGTTTTAGTATCTAAACTTATTTTTTTAAATCATACCTAACGTTTAATTTTTGTTTCATTTTAGTATCTCACTATTAAAAACTTAACGTGTTACCCAAACTATAAAATTTACTCCGTTTTAGTATCTAAAATTTTAATTTTTATAAAATATATGGATCAAATAATAAACATACATGTATATATCTATAACTCGAATAGAAAGTAGGGGTGAGCCGCGAGCAAATCTTGACTCGACTCGAAAAATCGAATTTCTTTTTTTTTTTAATTTTGAGTTATTCGAGTTAACTCGATTTATCAATTCGGTTTTCGAGTTTGAGTCGATTTGAAATTTGAAATTTCGAGTTACTCAAAAACTGAAAAATTGAATTAGTATTTGATTGTTTTACGATTTAATCCTTGATTTCATTATTCCTTCAATTCCTCCTTCATTTTAAGTTCATTTTTCATCAAATTTGAACCATGTGGTCTTAAACTATCATAGAATACATATGCATTTTCAATTCATCTTTTATATATATATAACAAATTATTTTTTTTCAATTTAGTCTCTCAATTTTTCATGATTTCATTTTTTCTTCAGTTCATCATTTATTTTAAGTATATTTTTACCAAATTTAAACAACATGCTCATATACCACAATAAAATACATATATAACTTCAGTTCTCACTTTTTTTACTAAAAATGTTCTCTCTCTTTTTATTTAGTCCCTTAACTTTACATTTTACTCAATTTGGTCTTTTCACTACAATTGTTCGCAAATTCTTTATTCCCATCAATTCATTGACTCCTATACTCTCATCAATATTTTTCCCTCAAAATACTTTCTTTTAAATATCATGGAATATCGGACGTAGCCAGAATTATTTCCTTATTCGATAAGACACTAATTTTCCAAGTACACCCCCACTAGGACGAAGCCAATAGTTCCCAAGAATCGGTCTTAATTGGTGAAGGACATGTAACATCCCAAACTAGGGGTTAGTGGCTAAATTGTAAAGCTTAAGAATTTGATGAATTAAGTAGAAGAATGTAATAATTCAATGATTTATTTGGAAATAATTCCTAAAAGTTGTTAGTAATTATTAAATTAGATGAAGGGCAAAATGGTCATTGAACAAAGATAATATTAAATATTAATAAATGGGTATTATAATATATGAGAGGTATGATTGAAGAGATAAGTTTTAGACTTATCTTCTTCATCTTCATCTTCTCTCAACGTGAAGAGCCAGCTTGCAAAGGTGAGTTTCTTTGTTAGTTGGTTATTTGCTAAATTTATGGTTGGGTTTTGATCATTAGGTAATAACTAAGCTTAAGGAAAGCTTAGGTTATCTTAAGATTGAAAGATAAAGAAGTTATGAAAGATTAAAGAAAATAGGTTTTTAAAGGAAATTTTGGAAAAGAGTTAATAAGAGATTTTTAAGATGGAATTTGACTTGTCATCAATAAGAATAAGAGATTTATGAAGTTAGAAAGGATTTATAACAAATTTGAAAGTTTAGTAAGATTCTTAATTTTAAGAATCTTGATGAAATATGGAAGATAAATATGATTTATATGGTTATAAGTTGGTTCAAGTCATAGTAGTTAAGTTTAATGTCATAATAGGGGATTAGAATAGAAGAATTAAGGGAAGAGTTGAGGATTTACGTGCTAAAATGTCAGTTCTGGGCAATGTGCATCGATGCACATTCATTGTGCACCGATGCATCGATGATAAATACTAGAAATTGTTTAAGGTGCATCGATGCACATGCAGTGCATCGATGCATGACTTTTAAATAGAAAACATCGAATAGGATTTATGCATCGATGCATAATGAGTGCATCGATGCATCCCCATTAAATAAAAACATCGAATGCATTTTATGCACCGATGCACAAGTAGTGCATCGATGCATACCTTCATTGAAAGAGGAAATTGGCTTTTCTCTTAGCCTAAGAAGTGACAGTTTAGAATATATCAATTGGAATATTGATATGGATATGTGTATTGTTATGTAGAGATAGAAAGTGATCCGTTTCGGGACGATTGAGGAATTAGAATCGAATCAAAGCAAAGCTAAGGTGAGTGCAATTTATTTTGTACTTATTTTATTGAATTAACATTGGCTTGTGATGAGCCAGTGATGGAGTTACTATGGTAAGAAGTAACTTCTAAATTGTTATGGGATTACCAGGTATGCATTAATACATAGAAATAGATGGATGCTATGTTATATGATTTATCTGCTTAAGTGAAAAAGCAACATATGATATATGTTATTTGACATGACATGCATGGTTACATGAAAGAAAGCTATGTGACTACATGTATATGTGAAAGAAGCTATAAGCTTATATGCACATGTGATATATGTGATATGAATTACATGAAATGATTTACATGAATACATGTATATATATATATATAATACATGTGATATGATATGAGGTATATGGTTACACATACATGTGGTATGTGACAGAAGAGAAAGAACAAGTGATATGAAATGTATAAAATAAATGCCCATAGTATATGATACGAGAGCTATAGGTATAGTTGGCATGCCAAGAGTCGAGGGTTTTACCTATGTCTTTCGAGACATATGGACAGTATACCTATGTTCTAAGGAACATATGGACAGTTTACCTAGGTTCTTTGGGACCTATGGACAGTTACCGGGGTCTGTGTGACCTCTGGATATGCCGAGGTTCTTTATGACCTCTGGATAGTTACCGGGGTCTGTGTGACCTCTGGATAGGTCCTTCGGGACATTTATACGAGCTGTGGTGACAGCATTAGTGCACAACCTCAATGTACTCACATACCTCTATTCTCAATAATATACATGGGCAATGAAATTGAAAGACAAATGAAAGTGAAAGTGATAAAAGAAGGTAAGTTGCATGTGTGCATGACCTGATTGTATATTGTTATCATACCATAGATTCATGCATATTGATAGGTAGTGATTCAATGATATGAATGCACATACATGAATTATATGTGTTATATGATGAGTATGTGGTAAGTGGAAAGGATTATTGATAGTGTTTTCATATGTATGTCTTTTATTTATATAAAATGATATATGGTTATATATATTTATATGTCTCACTAAGTCTATGACTTAGCGTGTAAGTGATTTACACATAGGTACCAAGAACGAGAAGTGAAAGAATAGAAGTGGCAAAGACAGTATCACTACTGAAAGATCAGATCAGAAGTATTTGACAAAGTATGTATTTGGTTATGTATAAAGTGTTGGCATGTAATAAGTCATTAAGTACGAGTACTCTGATCAAGTCTGTATTTTGTTTTAAATAAAGTTTTAAATTTCCCGGGATTTTTCTTAAGAGTCAAGATTTGAAAAGTCAATGTGACACGTCGGACTCGTATCCGGGTCGGGTACGGGTTGGGGGTGTTACAGGACACATGATGGTGCGTTGGGCTGGTGGCACTGACCTACACAAATTATCCATATCGTCGGGGCAATTTTGAAGCTGAGAAGGTGGCAATGGCATTGTTGTTTTAAAGCAGAAACGAATCTCCTTGAGGTATAGCTGCTTTATGCCTCTAATTGGCAGTAATGCCTCTAATTGGCATACTGCATGAGATTTGAGGATAGAATCCCACTTTCCTTTTCACATTTTGTATTAAAGTGTCCATGTCATGTGCAGTATCTGATGGTTTTACTCCCAAAACTGCATGTTCAACAATGAAAACAAGGGTAAAATATAAGAAATACATGGAATTTTTTTATTTAAGTCCCTAAACTATTAATGGTTAAATAAATACTTAATTTTATATGACGTGTCAACGTCTTATTGATCAAAAAAAATTCTAAATGAAAAACAATAGGACTTAAAATGATTAAATATAATAGTTTAAAGGCTTAATTTGACCAAAAAAATAGTTTTAAGTACTTAAAGCAATATATATATATATATATATATAATTTGAGTACTTATTTTTACTTTAGGCTTAATACAAAAATGAGTGTCTAAACTATACCCCAAATTGAATTTTCTAAACTAATTTGAAGACTTATTGTACCTTGTGGCTTCTACCTTAGAAAAAATCCATAAAAAGGTGGGTAATATTTTTAATTTTAATGCTAACGAGAACAATCTTGTAAAGCAAAATTTCCATTCAAAAGAGGAAAACGAATATTGTACTTTAAATTGAACTTAATTTCCAACATATTCACTTTGGTATTCATGGAATTCCATTCCATTTTTTATTATTTTATGATCCATCTTTATTCTTTTCTTTTTCAATTAAACTTTGGGTAAATTACAAATATTTTTAATTTATTCATTGAACTTAATATATTGGGTTTCTTTGGTCACTCACTTACTAAGTCTCACTAATGACGTTATAAATAGGTTTTTATATAAATACAAATTGATGTCATTTTTTAAAAATTTTATTTTCTTAAAAAATCATTTTGATGCTGTTATCTATTTAATGATGGGTGATTAAAAAAT